AAAATGATTGAAGCCAAAGTACATCACCATTCACTTCTGCTATCGTTCAATCATGGACTGCCGAGCCAGATTTGATTGACACACTTTTTTAATATGCTGGTAATTCATTGAATTGTATTTTTCAGGTTAAAGTGTTGAGGGAGTTATGTATAAAAATGAAGATTGGCTCCAAAGGTAGTAAGAAAGACCTCATAACATCTCTCAAAAAACACCTTGAAATTCCAGAAGAATTTTCAAAAATATTCTCGAAATTTTGGGGCGGATCAGGTAATCTTAACAGTAAATTATATTTAAAAACCTTTGAATGCATGCTACACAATTTGTTTTCYTAMTCCACTGCTGATGTTCACGATRTACAACCATGGTGGTGTAAATAGTTGCACACCTGCTGCAAGGCAGGAAGTCTAGGTTCAAATCCTGGCCAAGGTTATCGTGTCCATTTAGGCACATTACTTAGAATGCTTTAAAATATCATGAAATGTACTCTAGCGTTTTTTTGAATTAAACATGACTATCTTTTTAACAGGTGGATGGTTGGGCGCTGCTTGTCAACATGGAGTATGCTATGGCCTCAAGTGGTTGTTGCGCCAAGAGGGAGCACGAGACCACGTTGACCTGATAATGTCAATGAAGCATCAACCCAATATCATCATTGTGGACTTTGCTAACACTGTAGCTGCTCATGGACAAAACAGAAAACCTGGTCTTTTTTCTCCATACGATGGCCGTGTTCTCCCCAATTCTGCAGAAAATATTGCATTAGCTCGAGAGGATGATATTTCTCTCGACATGCCATGGATTTCAGCACCATCTCGATCACGTCCTGGTGATATGCCACWAATCCAAGTAGCTGCAGAAATTGGAGTAAGAGAACCACACCCTGTAACTGGCTCCACGTCATATTTCAGTTTATTTGACACCTTCCATGAAGAGAATTCATCTAATGATGACGATCTTTTAAGAAGAACTCGTTGTATTAAGCAACTTGAAGGAACCTTTCGGACAGAGGTAATCATACGAGTGGGTTAGTCATTGCGYGTGTTCCCTAAAGCGCTACGTATACCTTTAACATATACTAAAAGCTATATTGCAACTTTTTGTGGCTCTTTTCAGGTAATGGAGCAGTTGAATAATGTCATGAATAAAAACAATTATTTCATCAACTCCATGTCACCAGTGAATGCCATCTTTATGCAACGACTAGCTATCCATCTAACAAACGAGAAACGAAATGCAAAGGTTATTTCYTTTCATGAGAAACAGGTATATAACAGACTAAGYTATTCATCAATAAAGTCAAAACCTCATTTGYCTACAAATATTATTTCATAGGGATTGCTGGCTAGGGTTAAAATGGGTGCTGGGATTTAAAAT